ACACACACACACACACACACACACACACACACACACACACACACACACACACACAAAAAGCTAAAGTTGGATGAAATAGCCAGTTCTAATCCAGTTGGCTTGCACATATGCATTTTCAGGTGTCAGGATACACAGGTTTTTCTGCTGAAGAAGATTTCCTCATTGGATTTGCCAACATTTGCAAGGACCATGGCATCCAGTCTTTGAAAGAATTCCAAGAATTATACTCAAGCCACTTAGTAGCAAGCAAATTATATCTTTTAGCAGCTGGTCTTTTAGTTAGATGGTCGCTTCCTGTCTATATGGGCGGTTATAGTACAGAAAAAGCTGTAAAGTGGACAGATTTTACAAGAATAGTCAAAAGTTTGGCTACATGACACTAAAAAGGAAAATATAGCGAGATCTCAACAACAACAACAAAAACATCTTTGACTTACACTCTGCCATTAATAGAGAGTTCAGTAGCACAATGTCAGAACAATAATGTGAGTAAACTGACGTTCTCACAACAGCATCAACACAATCGTCTAGTGTAAACACTATCCAATAATTCCTCTTACCTTGACACTCCTATATAAACAGACAGAGAGCAAAACACCTTTAACTGCCTGATATGATAAACCAACTGTCTCGATTGGGTCTGTAAAAATGTCTGGTCTCAGGGTGGCCCTCGGCTGGAGTAAGCTGCAACGTGAACCACATTATTTTACTCAAACGTCCGGCTACGTATTGTTAAACTAAAATCTATATATGAGAGCAACAAAAACAGACACAGTTTAATAGCAGGTTATGAAATTAACACCTGCCACCAGCTGAATGGCAATAGTTTTAGCACAGATGTGGCGGGTGACTTGTACGACATCTTGAATTGACTTTTGACAGGAAATGTTGTTGCTTAGAAGCAACGACACGAACTTGAATATTACATAAAACAGACAAAAGAAAAGCTATCAATGTGCATGTTGGACCTACACATCTCACCTTTAGCTTCTGCACATGTTGCTGAAAAAAATTGAAATGAAATCCTCATCCTTCTGTGACTTTACAGTGAAACCGTCAGTGTTATAAATGTTGATCTAT